CTGTTGTCCAGCTCACCAAAAGCCTGCACTGGGTTTGAGATACCTAAAAAGAAAGAAAAAGCGGGATTTATTTAGTTACCAAAATGCATAAAATGTGATGCTACTTTCTCAAATAATTTTACAAACAACAGCTCTACTGTGTTTCTGTCCAGAGGGATTTTCCAGACATAATTAGATTTGGGGGTAGGGCCATCTTACAAGTAAAACATGTTGTTCCAATTTAAATCACAATGGCTGAAGTTCAATGATAAATTAGTGTTATAGTGGCCATTGCACAGTTGAGGATAAAGCTCTGCTGACATGATAAACAAGAGCTCCCTGCCTGTACCTCTCCTGTCCTATTCATTAAGCCATGTGCAGCGTGTGCAGTGAAGCCTCACCGAGCTGAGGGCAGTACTGGGGCAGTTTGTGGGGCATGAGCTGTCCAGCCTGATGCTGACACACCAGGTTGGCGATCTCCTGTCTGCACTGCAGAGATGTTGCTCTGTGCAGGGCTGACAGAGCGTCCTTGCCTGTGATGTCACACTTAGGCACAAAGTCGCTGCTGGGAGCCTGATGCGCCCCGTCCACGCTGCCCGTCTCTCCTGGGATGGCGGGCAGCCTGAGCCCCTCAGCTGCGCTCCTTGTGTCGCTCAGGTTCCTGCTGCTGGAGGGGTCATGGGGCTCCGGGGGGCTCTTCTGTCTGGTCCGCGTTCCCCTGCGGCTGGTGCCCCTCCTCAGGGCGCTGGCTGCTGTGCCCCCTGTGCGCTCTGACCTGCTGCTCCATCTGCCCTTGCTCCTCCCAGGCACAGAGTTCTGCTTGTCCCAAAGGCCACTGTCTCTCTTTAGGTCCTGGTTACTGTGGTCAGGCAGCTTGGAGCGGCGTGTCTTTCTCTGTAACAGCAAAAAGGACAAAAAGCACCATTCAGATGAAATGCTGACACAATGTTCACAAACAGAAGGAAATAGTGATGCATCACAAACTTTTGCACTAAGACAACAGACTAAAGAGCCCAGAGGCACATGCATGTGTTTACATGCTTGACTTTTCACAGGGGCTATTTTTAGCTGTAGTTTGTGAAGCCAATGCAGTGAAACACAAGTCACTTCTTCTGCAGTCTTGTTGTGTCTGTTCCTGATACTAAACATCTCCACCATCACCAAACATAAAATAATGATCACCTCATGTTTCTGCACAATTATTCCAAACCCTTTAATCTGCACCAAGATGACGTCAGAAATATGCACAGCCGCTGTATGAGCTGCCTTAGGCTGCTGGAAGAAACGCGGAGGAGAAATATCCATTATGTACTTAAGCACAAAATGTACATACTGTTCTCCACTTAAAACCACATGAACACAAAAAGAAAATTTGTTTTTTTGTCAACCAGAGAGTTTGAAAGCCGATAAAATCACCTGTCTATTTGGCACAGTGAGAACAAAGGGCCCTTCAGAATGTGCTCTGAAAATGAGGCTCTGAAATACAGTGAGTGGGCAGTGTGCTGCGCTTCTGTCAGACATGTGGCAGAACGTGGGCTCTCCCGTGCTGCTGCAGGCACCTGAACACCTCACCCACTATTATAGTCAACTTTATTTAACTGGACTCATGGCCCGTTTAAAATAGACAGACACAGTGACAGCATGTGGTGCAACATGGAGCCACACCATTAGAACCAAACAGACAGTTTGGGTCGAACAGGAAGGCAAACATGTGCTTATTGGAAATGGCACAGGGCTATTTTTACATCTTAAAATGTATTTCAGTTAATCACTTTAGACAATTGCCAATATTTATTTCCCCAACAGAACAGAAAAATGTGATGGAACACATGTACACATACAAGCATAAGACTACGCATTTCTATACTGGACAAATTCAAATCCATTTTTAATCAAGCCAATCATTTCTAAAGGTTTGTTTCGTCAGTGTTTTAGTGTGTTACACAACACAACTTTCCATTTCCATTACTTTGAATAAGCACAAAGAAAAACCCAGCTCAAGAAAATCAATGGTGGCTCATAGTTTCTTAATGAATTGAAAAGCCTCTGTGTCGTATCTACTGGCCAACACTCATTTCTCTTATCAGCCACTTCCACCACACTATATTTAATTAAGCCCATTGTGTGAAAATAGACACAAAGGCAGGCCTGTCTGTCTCTAGAATCAGAGAAAACTGGAGCCTTATCATAAAATGTCATCTGCTGAAATGGAAAGCACTAGTATACGAGTTTTATGGAAATTTCTGTAGATATACGAACAGATACAAGTAACCAGCTTACTCAGATGTGTTAAGAAGAAGAGCTATAGACAGGCATTTATATGTAAAAGTGAAGATTAAACTCATGATTGATAAGTTTAATCTGTTTTACAATATTTCCTCATATTTTTCTGTAAACAGGTGTAGTCTTGTGAGTGCAGTTTGGATTAGACACATAGAGATACATAACTGTTTTGAGAGCTTTTGCCACGCCCTCTTTTTAGTCAATTAATCAATCAACAGGACAATCTTTAGTCAAGCAAGAATCTCTTTAGTTGACTACATCCCTAATATTGTGAGGAGGCTTGTATTGTAGAAACGTGCTACTCCAATGTTCCACACTATCACATTAAACATCTCTAGCCAGCACTTGGTTCGTTATCTGTGTTTTTATTAGCCAAAAATATCATAAAAACATGCCATGAGCAGGATCGCTTCTCCACAGATCTGAACTGTTACTTGGTCTAGTTGCACCACCTGCCATTGTGGATTGTTTATTTAATGTCATACTGTGGAATATTTTAGGAAAAGTAATAATGTGACCGTGAAGATAAACAGATTAAGTGATGTAATTAATTATAGCCTGTTTAGTTTGTCATGTTGTAATTATAATTGGAAATTCACCAGAAGCCTGTAATAACATAATGAATACATATTAAACTTATTAAAGTTTGCATAAATGTTTTAACATGCATTTCCTGTTCTGCCAACAGGGTGGATCATTGCAAATGTATGAGCATAGGTTTGTCATGATATCAAAATGTCAAACTTGATTTCAGTACTAAGGAATAGACTCATTTCAACACCACAGAACTTTTATATTACCACGTTGCCTTATATTTGTGTAATCCCTCAGTGGTCCAGGTAGGTTCCACAGTGGTCCATGGGCATGTACTCATCCATGTGTTCTTATACTTGTTCTGATACAACTCAAGATCATTGTAAAGCTATTCAGGAAAGGTTCATTTCTCTCCTGCATATTTTTAGTATCAATACTTGATCAAATGAGTATCTAGTTTCTAATACTAGCTTTAATATTGATTAGTATCTGATTTTTGATACTTTTGAGAACCCCAATAGGCAACAACAACTCAAAAATAGATCATGACAGAGTTTCGTGGCTGAGCCCAGAGTTGGCTCATGTGTCCAGCCCTGCCTCAGCCTGCAGGCACTGGTGATGTGTGTCATATGCACACTCTCCATGGATCTATAGAGCAGTCATGTCTATTGGACATTGTGTATTGTAAAGCTTCTACGTCAAATACTCAATAACAAGACTTGGCTGCTTGATTTGCTGGACCAATTTGTGAGTGGAGAAACTTCAGCTGTTGCATCACTAGCTGCAACTCTATGGCCAAGGGTCTGGGCTGACTAACTGACGTTGGTTGTTTGAGTTGTTTTTGTCAATGTGACCACAGAGCTGACTCTACTAGGATCATGTTTAATCACTACGTGTGGATTATGTTCTACAAGTTTAGCCTACGCTTTTACAAGAGCCTTGTAGCGGCAGGTAACTTCGTCTTTACGCACGGGTACCGTGGGTAACGTGTCGCTGTGAAGTGATACAGACATGACAGGACTGGCCCTGCTATAATAAAGTGTTTGGCAAAAGCACTACAGTTTTCTCCAGCGGCTAACTGAGCTAGCGCCGCTCAATCACTGACCCACAGTCACTGAGCCACAGTCACTGAGCTCGATGCTAACGCTCCGAGCAGGGCTGGTCTCACTACAGCAGGCAGCAGACAGCGGCTTACCTCGGCCTCGCCCTCCTCCAGACTCCGCAGGCTCCATACCACCAGTCCCTGGATCAGGAGGATAGTCAGCGCCGCGGCTATGGCCAGTTTGTACCGACGGAGCAGCTTCTGGACGCGCGCACTGGCCACCATTTTTTCCGCCTCCTCTACGGGAGCGCGCATACTCTCCTGCGCGGTCACGAGGAGCCGTGAGCGCACCATCCTCACGCCGAGGCTTCCTCTGAGACACAACTTCAGATTACACTGGCTTTATTTCAGCAATTACAAAACATCACCGCCCTAAAGAACAAAGAACTCTGAGCACACCCTTTTATTAAACCCTTTTATTACGTAAAGCTTTTGGCCAGCCCAAAGTTATTTTAACACTCTGGCTGCTACGGGGAAAGTGTTTGGTAGCCCACTAGAATATTGAGCTTCGTTGATATATTTTTGCTGTTATTTATTTTATTTTAGACCTTGACTATAAAAAAGACTTTTCGGAACTTTTGTCGCCAAGTTAGATTTGCCTCAGCAGGTTTATGTTAATGCGGTCCCCCTAATATTTAGCAATGACGTAAAACGTAAACAAAAAGAAAGTCAGCGTTGCCATAGTGACACTCCATGAATACTAATGGAACATTTTTGTGTTTTTGTGCGGAGTGAAATCATCTCAGGACGGGACCTCCCTGTCTCCTGGGCAACTGGACTCCAAACCAAGAATCTGGTCTGGCGTGCAGAGAGTGGAGGGAGGACGCCGCACTCAGACTGTTTGATTTGTGCAGCCTACACCTTTTAACCAGGCTGGAGTATTGTGTGTGTGTGTGTGTGGTCCACGATAATGTTGGGACTGGATCTCCTCATAGATCTTCTCTTGAACACAACAGCCTAATAAAAATCCATTATGTTGATGAATGAGCTCTTGCCTGCGCCGATCCATAAGGCAGACCGTGGCAGTGTCCGGTGTCCTGTCCGGTCAGCAGCGACGTCACATCAGCACGCCTCTGACGGGTCTGGGAGAGGGCGACTGTGCGCTCTGCCTCACTCCTGCTGAGGCACCGCCAGAGTTTGGTCCGGGCCATGGTGCGCCTGAGGGACGGCTGTAGGAGGAGCGCGCACAAGACATGGAGACGTTTCACTGAGACAAACACTCAGATGAGAGCTCAATAACAGGAACCTGGGACTTCCACTGAACTCCAAAAGGGAACACTGTCAGTTTACGCGGCAGAAATGTCCACTACTCCGGCTCGTACGTTTCCTGCCCCACAGCTGAACTCGGAGCCGCTCATAGTGGTGTTTGCATCTGGTAAGTACTTGACAATTAGCCTGTTATTTCATGTCATTTCGTTGTTATTGATATGCCATGTTAAGTTTAACCCATGGCTCATGCTTAGGCCTAGGCTTTTTAATTTTTATTTTTTTTTATTAAAGTTCTGGTGTATATTTCTTTTATAATCTTTCAATGTGCTGTTAGAAAATGTTAGTCTACTTCTTATTCCCTAATGGATTGAATGATGGATTGGATTATCTGTGCAAGAACCACAAATGTTCAAATAATTTCATATTGTCAACATAAAGCTTTTGTCATTTGTAAGCTTATTCACAGTGGGAAGGGTAACCAAACTTTTACTAAGAGACTACTGTTACACCAAAAATATTACTTTTTAAAATTAAAGTTATGGTGTATATTTATTTTATAATCTTTAATAATATTTTAGTCTACATCTTGTTCCCTAATGGATTGAATGATGGATTGGATTATTTTTGATTTATAGGTTAATAAAAGTAATATCAAAATATTGCTTCAAAATAATATTACTCAAATAAGAGTTAAAAAGTGCAAGGCTTTGGGGGCAGGAGTGCTACTTAGATATGCAAAAAATGTGCAGAATTGTTCTTTTGGTGCTCTTCAGTGTAGGGACCAGTCTCAAATACAAAGTAGGAAAAAAACTTAGGCAACTTTTCCTACTTTGTATAAGAATTAAAAAGTATTTGGAGAAAGTACTGCTCTAGTAAGAGTCTTTTAAATAGTAATGTCAGTAGGTTTCTCAACTTATAATTTCAAGTTAATGTTATTGGAAGGACAAAACATTAAATAACGCACAAAATTAAAATCATGCACAAAAAAAAAAGGATAGACAAATATGACAACATCTACATTATTTCTGAAGGAGCAGTGCAAGAACCACAAATGTTCAAGTCATTTCAATTTTGTCAACATATTGTCATTTGTGAGCTTATTCACAGCGGGAAGAGTAACCAAAACTTTTACTAAAAGACTACTGTTACACCAATAAAAATATTACTCAAAAAGGAGTAAAAGTATCTTGCTATAAAGTACAATTTCTTTAAAAAGTCACTCAAGTAGGCCTAAATGTACATGTAGGCCTAAATGTAAGTACCCAGCTCTGAAAACTAATACTGTCTGAATGAGAATTTACATTGGAAATATGTTTTTAAAATAATTTGCAAGGTTCAATACAGGAAAAGCCAGTATTCTTGTTTATGTTGGCCCACCTTTAGGTAAAATACATGTAAATTACAAATCAGTGTGGGCACAATTAAAAAAGCCATTTCAAATACATCATCAAACTCCTTTATGAATGACAAATGACCAACTCATTTGCTCTCATCTCTTACAGTTTTTGCCCTCGTGTCCTTCGTGGTCATCGTGGTCATGCTGTCCATTATTTACCGCAAATATCCCCACTGCTGCAGGCTGTGCTCCTATCAGTCCCAGCACACTGATATGGTAAGAATAACAATGAGAAAAAAAAACAACAACAACAACACGTATCTTTTTGCTGACTTCTCCCCTTTCCAGACCGGGATGTGCAGTTTCAGTGACCAGTTGTTGTAGCAAACACTTGTCCACTGCTCACTGTAGCTCTGTTTAGAAAGTGTTCGACTGACTCAGCTTTCTTAAACATGGGAAAATCTTTGGTGCTTTTAGTCAAGTGTAAGTCAGAGTTTTACACAAAAGTTGGTGGTTTGATTCTTGCTAATGACAATTCATCCTACCGTTGTGCAATTGCGCTTCTTCAGCAGTAACTTGAGTAATGTCCTGTCATCAAAACACATAATACAGAAGATTATACTGATACTGTGTCATCAACATTTCGTATGGTTGCGATGCTAACTGTAGGCTCTGCTCTGTCTGAGACTTTAATCTGAGTTGACCATTAATCTGACCATAAAGAACAGATTTAGCTGGGACAACAGGTGAGTGTATTCGTGCTGTTAAACACGTCTCTCACGCGTAAAATCACAAGATAGCCAGTATTAGGCAACAGTTTTCACTTAGTCACTTTTATGTTGAAAATCAAACAGGACCATGAACCCACCGTATTGATCACAGGCTCCTGAAAAAGTCTCGTTTAAATCCATTTTGTAATTTTTTTTCTTAAGTTTTGAGACAATCTTAAAAAACTTTGTGTGTGCATTGTGTCACCATGGTAAATCCTAAAACTTCCAGCGTTAGAGATACATGTAGAACTCCCCCAGCGTGACAGCAGTGTGTTCTACGTCAAAGCACTATGTACACAGACACAGTGGGCGAGGCAGGTGAAGGTCACAGTAGCAGGATGAATGACCAGTTGAAGGAATCAGACCACCACCATTTCTGTTCTTGGTGAATACATTTACTGCCATTGAAAATTTTCTACTTTTCTTGTCATTTGTACACGTGCTTTCTGTATTTCTATTTTTGTTACAGCCAAATACACCATAGGTATCAGAAATCCAGTATTTAGCATATTTATGGAGTAAACCAGGATGTAAAGATCAGTCTTAAAAAGGTCTTAAATTTCATGTTCCTAAATTTGGGCATTAAAAAGAAGAATTTTTTCACAGAGGTCTTAAATTTCATTAGCGTATTTTTTGTATACTCAACAAGGCTGCAGTGCGATGTTAAATGGCGGGAGGGGGAAAAAAAAAACAACGTGAAACCATGTAACGTGAATGAACGTCTAATCTGGAGTATGCGCAAACAATACTTTGGTTTCTGGCGCTGACGGCGATGAGTAAACATTCAGTAGAGTGGAAGAAGACGTTGGATGGATCATGGGGAAGTGCAGGTTTAATCCACAGTGGCTCTTAGATTCTAGATATAGTATTTGGTTGGACATTGTTAGAATTAGATCTTGTGTTTTTTGCCCGCATAATGGTTGCGATGTTGGTCTTAATTTTCATTTAAGGTCTTAAAAAAGTGTTAAATTTGGGGTAGTCAAACCTGGGGATACTCTGAAGATGAACAGTGTGTTTTCTGATGGACGCCACGTACTTATCTACATGTAATACTCTAAAAAGTGGGATTAATTATTAAGTTACTGGCCAAGTTACATGTATTTTTGTTCAATTAAAAAAAAAAAATTAACCACTGCCAGATATTTACAAGATAAGGCAATCCAGTAACATCACCACAGAGATAAATAACTAACCCGAAAGTTAATAGTACCTTTAACTAAGCAAGGCAAGGCAAGGCAAGTTTATTTATATAGCACAATTCATACACTAAGTAATTCAAAGTGCTTTATAGAGTAAGAAAGACATTAGAATCACAATGCAAACAATAAAATTTAAAAATAGAGAGACACTAAATGAGAGAGGAGAGTAGAGACTGGAAATGTTTCAGTGATACGCAGCTAAACAGAACTGTAGTTGTGTTTAGAAGTCTGTAGTAGAGGCCTGTCTCACATGTTCAAGAGGACTGAACAAGGTTTTAGCTGCAGAAAACTAAAACGCTGACGCCCCGTGTTTGGTCCTGACTCTGGGCACCAGCAGGAGGCCGGTCCCTGAGGTCCTGAGAGTGCGAGATGGTTCATATGGCACTAAAATGTCAGCGATGTACTAGGTCATGGAGAGACTTACACTACACTAGCAGAGCCGCTTTAAAGTCTATTCTCTGAGCCACTGGAGCCACGTCTAAATCATGTGATAAATGGCCGTGAGCTAGGACTAAAGCAGATCTAAACCAAGACTTGATCCAACACAAACCCAGTCTAAACCAGATTGTATAACAAATTGGATGGAGACGTTTGATTGACCGATGCGCCGTTACTTCCTCTTCCTGTTCTGTCGCCTCCTTCTTGTAAACGAGAGAAGAATGGATGTTATCTTCACTTTACAGGCACATGACACAGACTCTCATCCTTATAAACAGGAAGCACAGGTTTTAACTGAGAAATCTGTCAACCAGTTTAAGGAAGAGACTGACTTGGCGCAGACATCTTACTCTGACCTTTGTTTAACGATGATGTAAGAAGTGAAAATCAATAACGTGTACAAGTCAGTAGAATGTTTAAAGATAGAGAGCACAGTAAAAACTTTAAAGTATACGTTAAAAATATTTGATTATAAAGTTATTCCTCACTTTTCTTGTGCATTCTGAGCGTCCTGATTATTCATCATGATTAGTTTATATATGCATATACAAGTGCATTCTACAATTTTCAGAAACAAAGCAGAGTTTTGCCGTGACCAGTGTTGGGAAGGTTACTTTTAAAATGTATTCCCCTACAGATTACAGATTACATACCCCAAAATGTAGTTTGTAACGTAATCCATTAAATTACTTATGGTGAGTAAAGTAATCTGAATACTTTGGATTACTTGATTTGCTGTAGAGAAGCAAAAATGAGGAAATCTTAACATAAGAAGTTTTGGCTGCTAAAAGAAAATAAAAAGCCCAGACTTTACTTAACCAAATTAAAAATATTATTGATAGAGGAAGAGGAGACATGGTCTACACAGCATGGTTTAGTCCTGTTAAATCCTGATTTAGACCTGGTTTAGACCTGGGTTTAGATCCGGTTTAGACCTGGTTTTAGTCCTGGTTTAGACCTGGTTTAGACCTGGTTTTAGTCCTGGTTTAGACCTGGGTTTAGACCTGGGTTTAGACCTGGTTTTAGTCCTGGTTTAGACCTGGGTTTAGACCTGGGTTTAGACCTGGTTTAGACCTGGTTTTAGTCCTGGTTTAGACCTGGGTTTAGACCTGCCTTTAGACCTGGGTTAGACCTTGGTTTTGACCTGGGTTTAGACCTGGGTTTAGACACGGTTTAGACCTTGTTTTAGACCTGGTTTAGAACTGGGTTTAGACCTGGTTTTAGTCCTAGTTTAGACCTGGGTTTAGACCCAGTTTAGACCTGGTTTTAGTCCTGGTTTAGACCTGGGTTTAGACCTGGGTTTAGACCTGGTTTAGATTTGGTTTTAGACCTGGTTTAGACCTGGTTTTAGTCCTGGTTTAGTGTCCAGCAATGAGTGGGATTAAAAAAAAAAAAAAGGGCCCCAAATGTGAAAACAGGAAAAAAACGCAGTGTAATCCATTTATTTCACCAAAGTAACTGTAATCCAATTACCACTCACTGAAACAGTAACTGTAACTGAATACAGTTACTCAATAATTTGTACTTTGATTACGTAACTCCGGTACATGTAATCTGTTACTCCCCAACACTGGCCTTGACCATAAACCTAACAACAACTAGCATTTTAACTCACACTTCCTGATTACCGGACAATAAAAAGTTACTATTACTGCCGATGCGCTGCTTCTTACTACTTCATTATGTACAATACTGATACACAAACACTAGAGTTTTTGGCAAAGAGAAAAAGTCCTCATATTTCTTTTTTAGTTAAGTTAGTTAAGTTACCTATTTACCTACTATCCCCATGTGAACACACTGAAATTTAGAGGTAAAAACTTCAATCAGATGTAGTTAAAGTTTCACTATGTACCTTTTCTAGTGGGGGATTTGCCATCACTTGACTGGCTTTTCACTCATCAATCATTTATTCAAGTATGAGTGTTTCTGTTATGAAAAAACATGCTTTCTTATTGTGAGCAGTAGAGCTGAGTATCAATAAGAAGTTGCCGATATGATAAATACCTCGGTACATAGGCCACGATACGATACATATCTCGATACAGTGCACTTTCAATTCGATACGTAATATTTCATATATGGTTCAGTAAAAATAATCACTTAAGGATGGCTGTGATAGTAAAAGTCTTTGTTAAAGGGACAGTTTGGAATTTTGGAAATAGGACCTCATTTCCTAGTGAGCCAAAGTGTTGGAGACGAGTGGAGACACTTTTTAAAATATTCCATCCAGTCCTTGTATTTGCAGAGGTCGCTGGTGCTAGGCTAGTGCAAGACAATGGCCATAGTTTTCCTGTCACTAAAAACAGTCTTACCCACTCCACAAAACACCCGAAGAAAATCTATTATTACACCAGACTGTCGATGTAAATGTCTGTGTCGATAGAATAATTTTAGAAGTAAAACCAACCTTGCATTTGAAGGATTTATATCTGAGCAGCAGCAGCGAGTTGTACTAACAGAAATATGAGAAAATAGTCCCTCAACATGCGACGAATCATGCGATGCAAGGTTAGTTTTATTTCAAACATTATTCTATCAACACAGACATTTACATCGACAGTCTGGTGTAATAATAGATTTGCTTCGGGTGTTTTGTGGAGTGACAGGATAACTATGGACATACACTATCCTAGCACCAGCGACCTCTGCAAATACAAGGACTGCATGGAATATTTTAAAAAGTGTCTCTACATGTCTCCAACACTTGGAACACTAGAAAATGAGGTCCTATGTCCAAAATTCTTGTCCCTTTAAACCACTTTCTGTCAAAGCGAATATGACACACCCCCATTTCACTCATCAAAACAGTGAAAATATCAAATGCGTTGCATAAACAAGATTCCTTCCTCCAAACAAGCAACAAAAC